CAGTTTTTACTTTTAGTCAGTTATTTATTTTCCCGAGTGTTCTGCTTGCATGTATGTATGTGACTACGGTGTCTGAGGAGGCTGGAAGAGGGTGTTGGGTCTCCCAGAACTGGAGTCACAAGCAGCTGTGAGCCACCATAAGGGTGGCAGGAACCAAACCATGGTCCTCAGTGAGAGTAGCAAGTTCTTCATCACTGAGCCACCTCTTTAGTCTCTGTTATTTTTTGCTCTTACTAATTTGTCTCAGTTTGTAGCCTAGGCTGGCCTGGAACTCCAGATCCTTCGGCCTCAGCCTTCTTTGTGCTAGGATCACGGCTGGTGCCACCACACCTCGCCGAGATAAGCAGACGCTTAACTAAACCTTAACAGAGGCCATAGGAAAGGGAGTGGCCTGGACTGAGCCCAAGAAGATTGCTAAAGGCTGCAAATTTGCCATCGTTGATTCAGAAGGGCAAGGAACAGGGCCACCAGAGGTAGCTCCAAGTCCCACTTCCACAGGACAAAACTAAACGAAACAAATCCACAGCATTGTCCTCCCTCCTGGCCTCACTAAAACTATTTTTCAAGACTGTTTTGTTTCCTTGAGTGTTCCGAGACCAGGACGATGACTGGAGCCCAGAAGGAAACAGGCCTCAGAGAAGGAGCCTTCTTACTAATGCTCTAGTTTCTGGGCCTGTGCACAATGGTCCACTTGCCTAGGTGAGGGCTGCTCCCTGTGTAGCAGGGAATCCTTGCAGCTCAGTGACCCTGGTACCAACTTTGCCCATCTAACTTACATGCTAAGAGAGACCCGGGCTGCTGGGGATGTGGGTTGGTGGTGAGTGGTCGGCTAGGATGGACAGGACCTAGTTTCAGTCCCCAGTATGTGAAAAGAGGAAAAGGGGGAGAGAGAGATCTGGGGGGAATTTAGCTCTGAGTTTTATCCTCACTGGCGACTTCTTACAACACATCTGGAAATGGAGTCATGCCTGGGGAAGTCTTGGCTTGGTGGAGGATCCCAGACCAACCCTCCCATTTAAAACAGTTAATTAATGTTTGTTTGTTTGTTAAAATGGTTTGTCTTTATTTTTAATTATGTCTGTGTATCTGTGCCTCTGTAGAAGTACAGGTACCTGCTGAGGCCAAAGGAAGGCATCGGCTCTCCTGGAGCTGGAGTTATAGATGGTTGTGAGATGCCCAGTGTAAGGGCTGGCATCAAGCTCAGGTCCCTAGGGCAGGAAGCGCTCTTCACCCGTAAGCCATCTCTCCACCACCTCTTATGAAAATTTTGAATCATCTTGAGTCGTCTACTCTGCAAAGGATAGCATTTAGAAAACGTAAAGTTCTGGGAAAACTGCTGGATAGGGAAGTGTGCTGGCTGCACAAGCATGAGAACCCGAGTTCGGATCCCGGCTCATAGTCAGGAAGAGCTGAGTTCGTGTGGCCTCAGATCTGCATGTAAGTCCAGCATGGTGGGGGCAGACAGGAGGTTTTCTGAGATGGGCTGGCCGCCAGCCTAGCTATAGTCCCAGGTTCAGGGCAAGACCCCAGGTCACATGAATACAGCTGAGAATGCAGACCAGGACACCCGCAGTCCTTCTCTGTCCTCTGTGCACATGTACACAGATCTGTGTGCCCATATATGCATAAGTGCATAAACACATATGCACCCACACGCGCACACATACACACACGCACATACACACGTGCGCACATACATACACACGCGCATGCGCGCACACACACACACACATGCACGCACAGTAAAATGTAAAGGAAACCAGGTGTGGTGCCACATGCTTGTAATCTAAGACTTGGAGGCTGAGGGAGGAGGCTTTCCAAGAGCTCCAGGCTAGCCTGGCTATATAGTGGAATCCTGGTTCCCCTAAACCAAATCCAGCAAAGCCAGAAGAGTAGCAGAAGTTAAATAAAACAAAGAGCACCCCCCAAAATAATAGTACCAAAAGTGGGTGATGTTTTGGAGCTGGCAAGATGATTCAGTTTGCTTGTGAGAGTGTGATTTACTAATACCCTGGAAAACATCTCAGAACATAAAACATATGCCTCCCTCGGACCGGAAACTCCTCTAGGAATTTACCAATGGGAAGTGAGAATCTCTTGCGCAGAGAGACTGGGATGTGAATGATCACAGCAACAGCATGACTGCTCCAAACTGAAAACAACCCAGATGCCCGCCGAGGGGCGAAGAGCTCCTCAGAACCCTTTGCCACCATCAGAAGGACAAGACAACATTGAGCAAAACCAGGCCACCTGTGATCTTAGCTCCCCGGAGATCTAGGGGAAAGACCTTGAGGATCAGGCCAGCCTGGGCTACACTTGAAGATCCTATCTTCAAAACTAAAACCAAATGGGACAAAATAAGAAGCCAGACCTTTAAAGGGCTTCGCAGACTGACTCCAGACATCCCGGACTCTGGAACAGACACTAGGAAGGGGATCAGAGGTTGCCTGGAGCTGGCAGAGTAGGAAGGATCAGAGGTTGTCCAGAGCAGGTGGGGTAGCAGGGATCAGAGGTTGCCCGGAGCAGAGCGGGCGGAGTGGGAGGGATCTTCTGAAGGGACTGAACAGGCAGCTTCGCGCGAACTAGACTGAGATCAGCTTGGTTATCTATTCATTATCTTCTAGCTGCCCGGCCTTGGGTAAAGTACTCAGTGGCTCAGTAAGGCCTTGAACTCACTCTCTGGCCTAGACTAATCTCGAACAGGAAGTCTTCCTGTCCCACACTTGCCTGAGTGCTGGGATCACAGGTATTGCCATCATGCCCAGCTTAAAGTCTCTTACCGAGGCTGGCACTTCCCTGGGCATAGCAGGTGACAGTGTGTTTTCCTTTTGAGCTTTCCTATGGGCTTATGTTGCCATGAGAATGTAATGCTGGCTTTGAACTCAACACATAGCTGATACCAGGCATTTGCCACCATGCTATTTTACAAATATCTTACTTATTTTTAAAAGTTCGTGTGTGGCGGCGTGTGCGTGAGTTCATGTATGTGTGTGTGAGCTTGCATGCACAAATGAGTACAAGGGGGCTGCAGAGGCCAGAAAAGGAAGGACCTCTGCTACCCTAGGTGCTAGGACTCCAATCCTCCTCAAGAGCAGCACTCCCAGCCCCCACCCCATTCCCCTGCTTTTCTCTGCTTTAGAGAAGGTCTCACAGCCTCAGCCTCCTGAGTGAGTATATGCTTCCATGTTGGGCTTAATTCTTTTTTTGTTATGTTTTTTCCGAAGCTAGCCCTATTTGTATTTAAAAGCAAATTGAAAACAAAGCAGGCAATAGTCATTCTTGCACATGGCCCAGAACCTCGGCTTTTAGTAAGGACCAACCACTGCTTCACACGCGAGGTGCATTGGACACCATCTAAGCATGCTGCGTAAAGTAACTCACCCGGGTCCATGAGGAAGAGAGTCCATTCTCCCATTTTGCAGATAAGCAAAGCAAGGCACACAGGGGATGCTTACTAAATCCCTGTAGAGTATCCCTAAAGAACAAAACAAAACAAACAAAAACCAGAATGGAATTCCCTGGGGTTGGGGAGAGAAGTGGGAATTTGGGGTTAGAGCCAGAATCTAAAGATTAGTCAGGTTTGGAGGCTTCAGCACTGTCTTCGGAATGTGCCGTGTCAACCTGGGAATTCTTTAAATGCAGAGATTCTGGACTGTGCTGGGCCTGGGCAGACTTAAACAATCCGCAAGTTGAGCAAGGCCAGATGCCTGTTCAAACCCCGTTGTCTCCAGCTGAAACTCTTAATGTTTCTGTCTTAACCTTGCGTGTGTGCGTGTGTGTGTGTGCGTGTGTTAATGTATGCGTGTGTTCCTGAGTACACACTTGTGCAGATGCTCACACATGTGCGTTCCCGTGGAGGGTGGCATCCAGTGTCTTCATTAGTCTCATCTTTTGAGACAGGGTTTCTTCCTTCCCTTCCCCTGCTGCCCCAGTTCTGGGGTTATAGGTCAACGGCGCTGCCACTACATGGCTGTGCCGTGGATCGAGCCCAGCTTCTCACACCTGCACGACAAGCCACTTGCCACTTGAGCCACCTGCCCGGCTACTAACTTGCATTTTGGGAAAGGGATGATATGGCATTCTCTGGGGACTTGCAGTCTCAGCACACCTGAGATTTCTCTGCCCACAACCCTTGATCTTGAGGGGTCTCCATTCTCTGGTTCTCTAGGTTTGGCCAGGTACCCTTCCCCGCTCTTACCCTGGGACACCACCACCAGCTTCCTTTTCTTGTTATCCCTAGTAGAGCCTGGGCATGAAAATGGGGGGGGGGGGGAGCCAGGTGTTATCCTGTATGGCCTTGGGATGGTGGCTCTCTCTGTCTGGGCTGGCAGCGCTCGTCATAGTGACAACTTCTCAGTGTGGTCGGTGTGCCCATCTTAGGTACTTTAACATGTCTTAGCATAGATATTTGAAACTCTTATCTGGGCATGGTAACAGTCACCTAGAATCCAAGCGCTCGGGAGGTAGAGGCAGGAAGAACAGGAGTCAACACCATTTCCATGCTGCATGCTGAGTTTGAGACCAGCCTGGGCTGCATGAGACCACTGTGCATTTTCAATCAGCCAATCAATTGCATGAGTTCACCTGGTTGGGACTTGGAAACATGAACCCGTGGTAAGAAGGGAAGCTGGTTCTGCCTCTTCAAAGTGATCGAAGCCCAGGAATGGTTTTAGAGTCAACGACTTTGCGACTTTGCTGTAGCAGCCCTCAGGCCTTAGTGCGCATCTGACTGGGGAGCAGCTGCACTCACCCTGGCTCAGTGAGCTCCGGAAGGGCCAGCTCCTGCCCTGGCGAGCCTTGATCTGACTTTTTTTTTTTTTTTTTTTTTTTTTTTTTTGTCAAGCTCTAACAACAGAACACAAATTGGGAAACACAAATACAAATGTGCAATTTCAGAAAGCAATTATGTACCTGATTTAGAGGCTCTTTTTTTTTTTTCATTTAAAACCAGCATGAACCAGGTGTGGTGGCGCATGCTTTTAATCCCAGCACCCAGGAGGCAGAGACAGGCGGATCTCTGTGAGTTCAAGCCTAGCCTGGTCTACCAAGCAAGTTCCAGGACAGTCGAGGCTGTTATACAGAGAAACCCAGTCTCGAAAAACCAAAAACCAAACTAAAACAAAACCCAGCATTTCAAGCCTGGCCTGATAGGTTGTGCCTGTAATGCACGGGTGACTGAGGCAGGAGGATTGCTGAGAATCTGAGGCCGGTTGGAGATATAAAACAACACCGTGTGTTACTGGAAAGATGACTGGGCTTAAGCGCACGGGCTGCTCTTGCAGAGGACCGGGGTCTGTTTCCTAGCGCTCACCGGCAGCTCACAGCCACTTGTAGCTCCAGTTCCAGGGCATCTGACATCGTATCTGGCCTTTGTGAACATGAGGCACTCATGTAGTACACAAACATATATTCGGGCAAAACACTCATACACCTGAAATAAAAATAAGCAAATTTTGGAAAGAAGGGAAGGGAGTGGAGAAAAAATGTATAGCTCAAGAAAAACAATGAAGAAATAAGTAAATTTTTCAAAAGGATGAAATTAAATAATAAGCTAAAAGAATGGCACAATATAGACCTCCATAAGGTTTCCCAATGTCCGCAAAAGGGTAGAGAAGGAAGCGGCTCACCCGCGTGACCCCTCTCACTGCACCGGGTCCCAGACTTCCAGTGTTTGGTTGGATCCTCAAGGAACTGGCCAAGCTTGCAAGCCATTTTTAGATCTGTGGGACCTAAAAATGCATATAACGTGTTCCCGTGTAAGCCCGCGAAGGTTTGAGTTCTCACGGGAGTCAGACGTTGATGTTGGGCGTCTTTGTCAGCCATGTCTCACCTTTGACATTGCATTCTATGCGTGTGGGTGCTCTGCCTGCATTTATATCTTGCACTGTGCACATGCAGTGACCTTGGTGGTCAGAAGCAGGACATCAGACCCCCCAGCACTGGAGTGAGACACCGCATGGGTGCCAGAAGTCCGAGCCGGGTCCCCCAGAAAAGCAACCAGTACTCTAACCATGGATCCATCTTTTCAGCCCACCACTTTGTGGCTTCTTCTTTGTCTTGTTGTTGTTGTTGTTGAGACTAGATCCCTCCCTGGACCTGGAGCTCACCTGCTACTTTGGCTTGGTAGTCCAGAGGACCAGGCTGAGAGAAAGCTCTACACCTGGTTTTGATGTTGCCAAAGGCCATTCCATTTCTCAGATATTTGGCATTGCTGTAGACACACCAACCTTGCCTGGCTCTGCATCCACCAGGAAGTTTCCACGATGACCCTGTAGCTTAAAGGTGGAGCAGGAAGCAAGGACTGGAGCTGGGTGAGGAAGTCTCTAGCAAGCAACCTGTGGCAGGCTAGCTGGGCTCTCAGTCTTTGGCGGAAAACAAATGTACCTTGTGTAGGCCCAGCTAGGATTTTCTGGGGGTGTCCCCTGGGCATAGTGTGTCTGACAAAATGCAGGACACCCTATTACATCTTAATTCCAGATCTATAACAAGTATTTAGCATATTTGAGCTTCCTTTTTCTTTTTTCTTTTTTGAGGTGTGGGGTCTCCTGTAGCCCAAGCTGGCCTCACACTCACTAGGTCACCGAAGCTGGTCTGAGCTCCTAATTCTCTTCCCCCACTCAAGTTCTGCATTCGCAGGTCTCCCCGCATGATATTTGAGATAAACGAAAAAAATTATTTATGGTTTGATCTGAGAGACACATTTAACTGAACATTCTGCACTTTTATTTGCTAGACCTGGCAACTCCAGCTGGACAGGAAGTTCAAGGAAGGATCCAGGTTCTAGTCTTGAGACTGCTTTAAGCAGGCAAGCACAATGGTAATCACCTCGCAGGCCTCTGGTGCCCAACACAGAGCCCCCACTCCTCCTCCTGGGTGATGGTGATCACCCGGGCTAGACCTAGGACCTATGCTGTCTAGGTCAGGTTAGTGCAGAGACAAGCCTTTAGAAGGGCGCGAGGGTGCGCACAACCAGTTAAGAAGGCTTGGTGCAAAAGAGACCCGCAGCTCACACATAGTTAAGTAGGTGTTCTTAACACTGAGGGCCTTAGGACTCACTGGGTGAGCGTGAAAAATACACACATTTCTGCACTAGTACCCCCAAGTCAGTCGGCCTGGGGTGGGGTCCAGATACTTGTATTCTTAAAAGTTCCCAGAGGTTCCAGCGACCTGCCACGGTTAACAAACTGCAGGAGTCTGGGCAGCTTCCAGGGATGGTTTCAAAGCTGGCCCAGCGCGGCCTCAGGCCGCCTCCCTCCCATGGCAGGGACAAGCGGATGCGGAAGGACTGAAGCAGGACCTGGGCCATACCCCTGTCCCATCAGTGCCCTCCTCTGCACACCCCGCGCCTCTGGGACCCCAAAGAATGACGCCTGGATTCCAAGGCAGGAGCAGTCTCTACCTGCCAGCGCTGGCTGCGGGTCCCAAAAATGTTCTACCCACAGCGGGCTCCGGCCGCCAGCGCCTGGGCGTGGGGGCAGCGAATCCGAGAGCGCAGGCGGCCGACATGGCCAGCGCTAGGCGGCGCCCGAGAGCACCGAGTCCCCTCCAGCATGGGTCTTGGGGCAGAGGTCTCCAGCTGAGATCCTGGGGGGAAATATAACAGCACCCGGTGTCGGGGTCTCGGAGTTGGTGCCGGAGTTGGGTCGAGAAGGAGCGTGGATTTGGAGAGGGGGCCCAGAGCAGGGGTTCTGAAGCTTGGGGTCGCGAGAGTGCGCTCTGGTGCGAGCATGGCTTTCTAATGGTAGGGCCAGGTCTCACCTTTCTCAGGGTGACAGGTAGGTTCCCTTCAGGTGACCCCTCCTCTCATGCCAGCTGAGCATCGCTGTTAAACCAATCTGGAAGAGTCTTCATGCTGTGCTTCAGCGGACTGTTGATTGGCAAGAAAATTACATTGCTGACAAGCGATCCTGTCTCCGGAAAACAAAAGCGAAACAAAGAAAAGAAAAAAGAAAATCACATTGTTTCTAAATACAAGAAATCCATCAAAACAGATCGAAAGGAATGCATTTCCTATGATGGTGTGACAGGAGAGAGATCTCACATCCAGGATCCTGAAATACGGCAGCATCCGGAATCGAGAAGAAGCACATTTTGCTGAGAATTCTGTTCATTTATTATTCTCTCTCTCTCTCTCTCTCTCTCTCTCTCTCTCTCTCTCTCTCTCTCTCTCTCTCTCTCTCTCTCTCTCTTTCTCTCTGTGTGTTCGTGGTGTTCATGTGTATTCGTGTTTGCACACATATGTGTGGGTACAAGTGCGACTCTGTGTGCATTGGAAACCGGAGGCTGGTGTCAGGTGCCTTCCTCTGAGCTGCCCCTTATGTTTTCAGACAGGGTCTCTCTTTTGAACCAGCGCTGCCCAGTGAAGCTAGTCCAGCCAGCTAGCAAGCCCCAGGGACCTCCCGCTGCCATCTCTTGGGTGCTGGAATTACAGGCAAGTTGTGTCTTCCGATGGGGTCGGGTGACCTGAATTACAAATGTTCATGCCTTTTGAGCAAGCACCTACCCCTTGAGCCATCTCCACAAACCTGAGAGACTTTTTAAAAAATTACAAATTTAAGGCCGGGTGGTGGTGACGCACGCCTTTAATCCTAGCACTCAGGAGGCAGAGGCAGGTGGATCTCTGGGAGTTCGAGGCCAGCCTGGTCTACAAGAGCTAGTTCCAGGACAGGCTCTAAAGCTACAGAGAAAACCTGTCTTGAACTCCCCACCCCCCCCCAAAAAAAATTACAAATTTAAAACAAAGAATACATCACAGATCACTACAGATCCCCCCCCCCAAAAAAAAACAGGCAAACATACTCTGAAGGAAGATGTTCTCTCAAGAGCTGAACAGTTTTTGAATGATTTCCTTTTGAGAAATTGGAGTTTGGTGTATGATAATGCTCTTCCCTGTGTTACCAATTATTTCTTTTTCTCATTTCCCATTTTACTTAAATGTTATTCTGGTAACATTTATTTGTCAACTTCTGAGTTTCAGTTTGGAAATAAGAAAACCCAACAAATACTAGGACCTGATCCCTTGCCTAGGAGACTCACTGTCTAACTGGGGAAAGGGAGGCTTATGAATAAGACCAGCAGATTTTAAAATATCATAGAGGGGACAGCAAGGATGTTTTGTGTCATTCTGAGGCAGTGTCTTCAGTATCCCAGCCCTAAGTGGCCTGGAATAGGTTAGGTAGTCAGTGTGACCTCTAAGCTTCCATCTCCCAAGTGCTGGGATGCAAATGTGGACACCAGGTCCAGGTTAATCCTCAGCACTCTCTTCCCCTACACACCTTTTGTGTATAAGGGTGGAATTTAGAGCCTTGTGCATGGGAGGTAAGCATTCTACCACTGAGCAGAATCCGAGCTGGCCTAAGTTACTAGTTATTCAAAGGAAGACCTGAGGGGTAAAGTCCCGGGCTGCCAGAGTAAATGCCTCAGACCCCGTGGCTTCAACGATACAAACAGCTTCTGTTACATTCCTAGAGGAAAGGAGTCCAAGGTCAAGATGTGACAGAGTTGGTCCTGTCTGTGTTTCTTCTCTTGACTAGTAAGCAAGCCCCTTCTCCCTATCTTCACAAAGTTGGCCCCCTTTCTAAGAAGGACACCATTTGTATTGGAGTCAGGCCTGATCTACCTCGGTGATCTCAATAAACCTTGATCACATCTTCAAAGGTGTTGTGGGATATTTGTACACTGTGTGAAGGTGGATTGTGGTGATTGGTGTAACAAAAATCTGAATGACCAATAACTAGGCAAGAGGTATAGGTGGGATTTCTGGGGAGAAGAAGGAAGAGGAGGAGAATCTAGATGCCATAGAGACACAGAACGAGTTGGACACATAGAATGGGAGAGGAGTAAAAGTCATGTGGTAGAACACAGGTTAATAAAAATATTGGTTAATTTAAGTTATAAGAGACTGTGAGACAAGCCTAAAATAAGGCCTTCCTAGCTAATAATAAGTCTTCGTGTCTTTATTTGTGGGCTGGTGGTCTCGAGGAAAAAGCGTATTACATATGGCCTGATGTGGAGCATCAAATATTCAAACACAGGGCCTGAGAAAGCCAAGGAAAGTTCAGGACAGGGAGCCAAGTATGGCTCGTCCTGCAGTCTCTCAGGTGGGCCAGTGCTCGGTGTACAGAGCTGGAGCCAGCTGCCAGCTGATGTGCCTGCACCATGCGCTAAGCTGATTAACACAGTGGTTGATGTGGCAGTTTAAGATTTTTCTCATGTCATCAGAGAACACTGCAGGCACTTAGCAGAGGTAGGTCCAGACACAGAAAACGTCTATGAAGATGCAGTATGCTTAAAGAATGTGCTTAGAAACAAAAGAAATAGAAGTTAAAATAAAGACACATAAAGATGAAAAATTCACAGAGAGTCTAGATACTATATGTTATTATGTTCTCTTTGAATTGTTTGAATGCTGAGGAAGGAGTAATATCTGCTAAAAAATATATTTGTTGTTTATAAATGCTGCTGAATTAATCCAAGATAGGTATTTTGAAAATATCTTGACTTCAAAATTGAAGTCAAAAGGTATGTTACTTTGGAGAAGAGGTTTTGCTTTTGTTTCCACAGGAAATGAGAAGCTGTGGATTCATTCTGGGTTAAGAAAAATCAGGTTTGATCAAGGAAGACCCCTTGAGAAATCTCCGATAGGAGGAATGGCCCAGATGTCTGAGTTCTACATCCAGAATAGTTCAAAGACTGCTGCCTGAGATGATCAAGCCTCACAGGATACTCCAATCATGAATTGATCATAATTCTAAATCTTCTTTAGGTCCCTATAAGATTATCAGTGACCCCCCCAATCAACAGGAAGTAGCCTGGAAAAATATGTACACATTCCCCCCCAAAATGGATTATGGATATTTTCCTTTGTTTAGAATGTTGGTTATAAGTTGTTATGGATAATGGTCAGGAGAAAAGCTAAACAAAGAATATTAGATTCAGCCGGGCGGTGGTGGCGCACGCCTTTAATCCCAGCACTCGGGAGGCAGAGGCAGGCGGATCTCTGTGAGTTCGAGACCAGCCTGGTCTACAAGAGCTAGTTCCAGGACAGGCTCCAAAACCACAGAGAAACCCTGTCTCGAAAAACCAAAAAAAAAAAAAAAAAAAAAAAAAAAAAAAAAAAAAAAAAAAAAAAAAAAAAAAAAAAGAATATTAGATTCATAGTTCTTGTTTTAACTAAAAAGGGGGGAAGTGCAGTGGGACAATGGTTTGTACCCTGTCAATCATATTTTAATAAAATGCTGATTGGCCAGTAGCCAGGCAGGAAGTAGAGGCAAGGCAATGAGAATTTTGGGAGAGGAAAGCTCAGTCTATAGTCATGACCCGGCTGCAGATGAAGCAAGATGTGACTGCCTCTCCAAAAAAGGTACCAAGCCACGTGGCTAACATAGACAAGAATTATGGACTAATATAAGTTATAAGAGTTAATAGAAAGCCTGAGCTACTAGGCCAATCAATTTATATTTTTTTAAAAATTTAAATGTGCTTTGATGCTGAAGAAAGAAAAGAAAAAGAAAATGGGTATAGATGGTCCTAGAAAAAATAGTTTAAAAATGATAAAGTCTTTAAAGAGAGGGTAAATAATATAAAACAATAAGCCATGCAAAGATGGGAAATACACAGGGGTCTGGATGCTGCATGGTGCTTCATTGACTTTGAATTTTTAAATGCTAATGTACAAAAAAAGAGCTGCTGAGAGAAATTGAATTATAGAAACTGCCAAATTAATCTAACCTATATAATTTAAGAATGCCTTTACTTCAAAATAGAAGTCAGAAAATATCTTGTGTTGGGGAGAGGTTATACCTTTGTTTCCACAAAAAGTTATAGTTCTCTTCAAAGTTAATGAAGATCAGATTTGACTGTGGGAGACATCCTGAAAGTCTTGACTACAAACACAAAAGAAGAAACAATGAAAGACTATAGGCAGGACAGGTGACATACATGCTGATCCCTCTACATGGGGACAGCTCTGAGACTCTTGTTGACTACAGAGTCCTCATGATTTATTACATGCCATCCTTTCATATGGTGTGGAAGAGGTTTGGTTATAGAGTTCAAACAGACTAAAGTTAATAGACACCTTTTATCTGCTCAAACATAGAACACAGAAATCATCTTTAGCTGACTTGTGCACACCACACCGTCACACAGCACCTCTGTTGCTGCAGATATATATGTTACCTTTAAAAGTTTATATGTTTTCAGAAAAAAAGGACCAGACACTAATAAAGACAAGTAACCCAGGTGATTCAGTCTCTCAGAATGCCTCTATTACAGTTTCCTCAAAATTCTGCATCTGGAACAGCTTCAAAGCTGCTACCTGAGATGGTCCAGCCTCACAGACTATCCAATCAGAATTTTGGATAAGCCCTGCACTTTCCCATCACACTGACACTGGACAACAGCCAGCTCTCCCAGGACTTGACCATTATCCCAGTTTTTCTTAGGGTCCCCTAAGATGCCATCACCCCAGACAACAGGAAGCAGTCTAGAGAACATGATGTCCACATTCCCAAGAGGTGGGGTGGATGGATTTTGGTCATTTGGTGGGTTATAGATGTTTGTCATCATTTAGGGAGGTTGGCTGCAAGTTGTTGATTATGGTCAGGAAAAAAAAGCTGAATAAAGGAGATTAGATTCAGGGACCTCTTTCTGAAGGAAAAGGGGGGGGGATAGTATAGAAATGATAAAATAAAAGGGTGGATTGTTGAGTCTGTCTTTCAACAACTACTATCTCAAATTTTTTACTTTGGTATAGATTTTTGTATATTGAAACGAATTGAATGTTATTTTTGTTATACTGTATATATGTTTCTACTCTTGTTTAAAGTATTGTACCTATGTGAATCATTTAAAAGTATAATGTAGGGGCTGGAGGGCTGGCTCAGAGGTTAAGAACAC